CAGTGACAAGATGAGTTCAGTAACAAAAAATTTCAGAGTTATTTACTTCTGCCCTGACTCTAGAGTGAAAGCACAGCTGCAGCTGCATTTTAGGACAAGGAATTAATTTATCCCAAGGCTGTGCTTTGGGAAATCTTACTGTGTCACTTCCTGTTAAGATAGCGTCCAAGAGAATACCATTAATACAGGGATCAAACAGAAAAAATCACTGCACTATTTAATAGTGGGTAATATAAGCTCTGTATTAAATTTACGTTTATGAAAGTTTTCTTTTAAAGATTCCATTAGCTACAAATAACTGTGCTTAGAGCTTTTGCAGAGATCTAAAAGAACATACGAGAGAGAAGACAGGTATCGTTATTCTCATATTACTCTGGGGTAGCTGAGGCACAGAAAAGGTAAGGCATTTTTCTGTTTGAGCCATCCCAGAAGTGATAGCTTCAGAAAGCAGTTAATTCCAAATCCCTCTTCCTAACCAACATACCTCATTCTCTTTTCCTAGCACTCGATTTTGTACCTATAGTGTGCTCTAAAACCTTACTAAAAACATGGAAGACTGGAGGGGTGTAAGGAAGACAGGATAGCACACAGAGATTATTTTCTTACTTGTATTTGTCCGTTATCCTAAATGCTGAAATTATTTTGTGTTAGTTACACCACTGTATAGTTCTATAGCTAAAGAACTCCCCTTCCAACAATCCCATGGATACAAATCAACTATAATAAGTACTACATATAGTAAAGGTAATTATACCAGCGTCACATATTGTGATGGGAAATATTCTAGGTGACAAGATGAATTCTCCTCCTAATTGCCACTTCTCTAATGAAGACAGAGATAATTATCCAAACTTCGTGGCAGATCAACAGTGTGTGATAATTATCCAAACTTCTTGGCAGATCGACAGTGTGTGAACCTTTTTGCCAGCCTGGCTGACATTCCGTAGTGGCCCTAATCCTCTACCGCTCTACCAACCACTCCTCAGAGCACCTACCAACTGTTGATGTGGGGACAGTGATGTTATTTTAGGAGCATCCTGAATCTCTGGTCACAGCCTGGCCCGGCTGGGATCAAATGCCGCTACCTAAATCTTGAGCTGTGTAACTTCAGAAGCAGGAAGGGCTGACCCAGGTGGGGACGCAACCCAAGGGACTGCAAGTACTCTCCTGGGATGAAATGATGTCCAAGGCTCGTCTCGCACGACTCGGAGCGCCGGGGTGGTAACATGCCCAAGAAGCATGTGCGGAGGGCACCCGCGCCAGCCCGTGCAGCGCGTCCCGACCCGGCGGCCGGCTCCAGCGGCAGCCCCTGCCGTGGGCGCTGAGGGCAGCGGCGGCACCCAGAGCCGATGTGCCCGTCCCTCCGTCCCCCCCCCCGCGCCCGGCGACCCCCCACCTCCCCCTTACCTTCCTGCGGGGAGGCGCGGCCGCCCCCCGCCCCGAGCAGCGCCAGCACCGCCCAGGGCAGCAGCACCGCCGGAGCCACCATGGAGGCGACTTCCCCGGCTGGATCCCGGCCCGGCAGCCGCTCCGCGGGGGGGAACCCGCCGCCTCTCGAAAGCTCCGGAGCTACCGGAGCTTGTGCCACGCACCAGACCCGCCCGGCGGGGACGGGCGGAGGAAGCGGGGAGGCGGCGGCTCCTCCTCCCGAGCTGCCTCCGCAAGAGGCGGGGAGGCAGCCGGGGCCGGGCCAGGAAGCCGTGGGGCCGCGCTCGGAGCCAAGCGGAGCAACATCTGCCCCTCGCTGGGATGCAGAGCTGGGGCCGGGGGGGGGGTGATCCCGGGGTGCGGGGTTACGGCCGAGGGATCTGCAGGGAGAAAAGCCGGCACTGAGCGAACGGGAGGCGGGGGAGCAGGAGCGGGCTGGCGTGCCGGGCTGCACATGGTGGTCACAGCCGTCGGGTCTGAAAAAGGCAAAGCGAGGGTGTGCACAGCTCTGGAAACGGGGAGCCCTTATCAAATACCTTCTTCCCACCTGTCCTCTCACTGCACATGCTTCCCCGGGGAACACAAAATTTGTTGTGGTCTTGTTTGCGATAGAAACTGCTTTTCTCTGGCCACACGTACGTTCTGAAGTCTCGTATTTATCCCTTTGTCCTTGTGCTGGGATTGCTTGCTCTAGCCCCGATGACTTATCCATGCATCTTTTTTTAGTTTATTCTGCCTGACTTTGAGAAGAGGGAAAATAAACGTGTCTTATAAAATTACACCCTTTAAAAAAAAGATGGGTTTAGGGTCATTTTTATATTGCAGTGAATGTAAGACTCAGGTGCAGGGAAACCCTTTCAGGCCTGCCAGACACCAGATGAGGAGCTGCCACCAACACACAACCCTACGTGAGGCCTTGAGCAACACGTTATTTCTACTGAAGCAAATACCTAGAAGCAACAGTGCCATTTTCTTAAGCACTGTGTATAATTAAACCCAACTTTGCTTCCATTGCTGAAAGGAACATGAAGAGATTACTTATTTTCTCGCTCCTAAGGTGCGAACAATAATATTTACTTGTCTGCAAAGAACTCAGAGAACGACAGAGACTGCATAAATGTTATGTACTGTTCTGTAAGAAGTGAAGTAGATGGCAAGCAATGCTGCAGTAAACTACTGAAGCCATCACCGAAAGAGGCACCAAGTCCTGAGTCCCACCTGAGCTCGGCCACGGAGCATGTGTTCCAGCAGGCAGGGAAGGTATCAGGGAGAAAGGAGCAGTACTGGGTAGTTTAGCAGAGGTATAAAAACCGAAGAATGCATGCAGAGCGATGGTGCGACACGTGCATTGAGATAACACAATGCCTCAAAGCAGTACCTATCACTTAGCAGGGCTGGGGTTCTGGAGTACACACAGAGTGTCATAAGAGCATTGGGGTGATACAGAAGCCTCCCTCATTGCAGAGTTCAGCTTTAATTAAAAAATTGTCTGTGTAAAATTCTGAGGCCCAAGTCTGCTGCTTGCTGTCAGTAAACCACCTCCTTAAACTAACAGAAATCACAGATACTGTAGGATTTGGGTTCTCAAAATAAAACCAAGGAGGTGTGATCTTAGAGGAAAAAAAAATAGCCATGTTAGAAGGGCTACATTGTAGCTAACTAATACTTTCCATGCTTCATAATAGCATCCTCTCAAAGAACTACTATTACTATTTGTCTGTTCACTGAGAATATTCTTGAGTGTGTTCAAAGCACTTTTGTTTCCATTCCCTCTCCCCAAAGTAGGAATTCCCTCATAATTACCAGGCAAACAGAATAGTTTTCATGCTCAAACTATGTACTACAGGCAACAATCCAAGGAAATACTAGTTCTCCCTAAAATGGTGATTTCAGGAAACTTCCTTTTGCAAAGCTGACAGTTTCACTAAATAAAAAAAGGAAAACAGACTTTCACTTTAGATTTTTTTCAGCACTTTGCAGGCCTGGACAAAGCCTCTAATAAAGCTTTAGCAGCCTCAACACATTAAGCCAGGAGCCATAGCGAAGGTGTTCAGCACCTCACCTTCAAACCTCAGACTGACACCTATGACTCAATCTAGAATTTTAAAAATTGCAAATTTTTCATTTTAATGACATTAAATCTCTTCATTCTAAAATGAAAAGGGAGTTGCACACTAGAAACCATGAATGCATCATTGTTTATACTGCTGTACTCCGACTGTCCCTATTTGACAGCTCTGTTTGCATTCTGAAGCTGTGCCAACCCAGCAAGCATATTTTTTTTTTTCCTGTTTCTATGTTTGTACTGCTTTGTGCGCCCTGGCTGGAGCTGGCTGCCTGTCTTTTTAAACAGAGGCAGCTGCCAATGCAGATGTTCCAAGGAGTACGTGCAACACGTGCTCCAAGCGAAGCAGCAACTTCCTAAAAACTGCAAGGATCAGAGCTGTGCTTTTAAAGCAGCCTCAAAACACACCAGACATTCTGAGACAGCACCAGGCCCACTGAAACGTGCAAGGGACAGGGGCTCACCCACTGTTTTTAGATTCCAGTGCAATCTCCCCCCCCCCCCTCAATCAAACTGCTCATTTGCAGGAAGAAGTTAAAGGGTTTTGCCTCTCCCCTTCACTAAGCTGGTTCACAGGCTCTATCTGCTCAGGAATTTCATACTGAATTTTAACTCAGTGTTTCTATACGGCTTGCTACCATCTTTTGAGAGCTGCACTGGAGTACCAAGCTTTCCGTGGCTTGATGTGCACATCATAAAGTCTGTCCCTCTATTTCCTACACAGTGGGATGAAGTTTAATAGACTGTAACGCGCTTTCTCACACCAGGCTCTGCTGCCGTAACAGGAGTAAAACTGCCACTGGAATTATGGAAAATTCTTCCCGGCCCGCTCTGCATTTTTTCCATCGGTGCAGTCACCCGAGCAGGAGAGACAAAACCCCAGCCCTGTGCTGGAATAAGGCTGGAGCTGCGTCCCGGCCCTCCCGCTGCCAGAGCCGGGGGCGTGGGGGGCGCCCGGAGAAGTTGGGGGTCCCGGAGCCAGGGCGGGGCCTGAAGCCAGGGAGGGTCCCGGAGCCGGGGGGGGGGGGGTCCCGGAGCCAAGGCGGGGCACGGAGTCAGGGGGGTGGGTGAGGTGTCCTGGAGCCAGGGGGGGTCCCGGAGCCGGGGGGGTGGGTGTCCCGGAAAAGTTGGGGGTCTCGGATCAAAGGCGGGGCCCGGAGCCGGCGGGGAGTCCCGGAGAAGTGGGGGGGTCCCAGAGCCAGGGTGGGGCCTGAAGCCGAGGGGCGGTGTCCTGGAGCCGGGGGTGTCCCGGAGCCGGGGGGGGGGGTCCTGGTGCCAGGACGGGCCTGAAGCCGGGGGGGGGGTGGGGGGGGGGCTCCCGGTGCCAGGGCGGGGCCTGAAGCCGGGGAGGGGGCGTCCCGGAGCTGGGGGGGGTGGATCCCGGGGCGGGCCCGGTGCTCCCCCGCCAATCTCCTCCTCACGGGGCGGTACGACTGAGCTGTCGCAAAGCGCCGCCTCAACGCGCGACAGGAGCTGCCGCACGGCGCGGCCGCCTTCCGGGCCCGGGCGATGGCGGCGTGAGGCCGGGCCGCGCCGCGGCGGGGGTCGGGGCCGGGGAGCGGCCGCGGGGACGCGCCGGGGCCGGGGCCTCCCGCTCGTCGCCCCATGTGGCTGCAGCAGCGGCTGAAGGGGCTGCCGGGGCTGCTGTCCAGCAGCTGGGCGCGGCGGCTGCTGCTGCTGCTGGCGCTGCTGCTGGTCGCTTACTGGTACCTGGGGGCGGCGCGGGCGCGGCGGGGAGCGGGGCGGGGGGCCGAGCCCCGCGGGGCCGCCGCCCTTTGCCTTCAGGCGGTCACGGCGGGCTGGCGGGCGCAGACCGAGCGCGGCGATGCGCTGCCGGTGCCGGAGGAGGAGGAGGCGGGGGGCGGCGGGGGGCGGCTGGCGCTGGCGGGTAACGGCTTCCTGCTGCTGGACGTGGCCGCCGGCCGCCTCTGGGTATCGGCGGCGGGAGGCGGCGGGGGACCGGCGCTGCCCACCGAGTACCCGGCGCTGGTGCGGCTGAGGGCGCTGGGAGGGCGCGGAGAGGCGCGGGCGGTGCTGGCGGCGTTGCGGGACGGGGCCGTGCGGCGAGTGCGGTGCGTTCAAACCGGAGCCGGGGCGGGCGCCGGGGATTGCGTGACGGTGCGGGAGGAGGTGGTGGCCCACCGGAGCCGGCCGCATCTCTACCTGCAGCGCATCCGCGTTGCCAACCCCACCGAGCGGGTGGCCGCCTTCGAGGCCTCGGCCCCGTCTTCCGCGCCCTCGCTGGGCGGCCGCTTCGCCACCAGCCTGGAGAAGGTGGAGGAGCGGCAGTTCCTGCTCTCCTCCGGTCGCCTGCTGCTGGCCGGCAGCTCCAAGGTGGTGCTTATGGTGGTGGCTGCCAAGAAGCTCGTCAGCCGGGTGCAGGTGGCACCCAAATCCCACTTCGACGAAACCATACTCTCTGTGGTGTACACCTCGGAGCCCATCGAGGTCTCCAGGCTGGAGGAGACCTTCAGCAAGCTGAGGGAGTCGGCCAAGAAAGAGATGCTGGAGGTGATGCAGATGGGGGTGGAAGATCTTCTCCAAGAGCACCAGCAGACCTGGTCTGACCTGTTCATTTCAGGTAAGGAAGGCGATGCTCAGCTTCCAAAGGGCTGCTTTAGGGTGCAGCTGAGAGCTCAGTGACCTGGTTGTTGCAAGGTCTCCAGAGGCTCTGCTCATCCTGACGGCTTTCTCCTGGGGGCCAGAAGGCATGCTGTGGGGTCATACAACAGCGTTCCTGGTTTGGAACCCAGCGTACTTTAAAAAAGGGGAGTATTCTTTACTGCATAAAGGAAACAATAGAAGAACATTTGTAAGCATAACTCTGGATGAGCTGGCTTTCACATCTCCAGGGACTTTACTGATTTGTCCAGCATGTCAGCTCTTAAGTTGGAAATAGAGTTGACCTCTAGTGACAGTATAAAGGGCAGATTTCTTCATGGAAGTTAAGGACTGTCCTAAAAAACCATAAGATTTTAATGGTCTTGCATCAAAGAGTAGCTGCCCAAATAATGTAGAACTTGCTATTTTATAGCCAGTAAAAAGATAGATGTTTCTTTGGCAGGTCATTCTTGCGGAGTCATGGTGACAGCTCCATAAGGCATCTGTATGTCAAACTAGCTTTGGCTTTAGTGGGAGGTTGACTTTCAGACTCCAAGTAGCAGAGACGGTGTCAAAGAAAATACAAGGAAACTTTTCACTTCAATGTTTCATAGACAAAGGTTTCTTACATGTTATAAAGAATGCCTGTGTGTTCAACAACAATGTGCACATTTGATCTCCTAGTGAATGTCATACTCACGTGTGATCCTCTGACTTTCGGTTGTTTTCTTTTATTACAGGGGTTGAAATGAGAAAGATCACAGATTTACATACACCATCCAGTGAGACTGTTAACATGACCCTCTACTATGTGCTGTCGAGCATGCCAGCTCCTCTGCTAGATCCGCTCATTAGTGGTGAGGACAGAGAAAAAATGGAAGCCAGCTTGAACTATGCTGACCACTGCTTCAGTGGCCATGCAACCATGCATGCAGAGAACCTGTGGCCAGCAAAGCTGACCAGCGTCACCCAGATCTTGCAACTCTCAGACCTGTGGAAACTAACTCTCCAGAAACGGGGATGCAAGGGTCTTGTGGCAGCTGGAGTCCATGGACTTATGCAGGGAATGGTGCTTAGTTTTGGGGGTCTGCAGTTCACAGAAAATCATCTTCAGTTTCAGGCTGACCCTGATGTACTTCATAACAGCTATTCCTTACGTGGGATCCATTACAATAAGGACTTGATTAACCTAGCTGTTCTGCTGGATGCTGAAGGAAAGCCATTCTTGCATGTGTCTGTGAAGTTCCAAGACAAGCCAGTTAGACTATATGCGTGTGAGGCAGGCTGTATGAATGAGCCTGTGGAGCTGACCTCAGAGGCACGAGGTCATACGTTCCCTGTCATGGTGACTCAACCCATCACGCCCCTGCTTTATATATCGACAGATTTGATCCACTTGCAGGACTTGAGACACACACTCCATCTAAAAGCTATTCTGGCTCACGAGGAACACATGGCCAAGCAATATCCAGGCTTACCCTTCCTGTTCTGGTTCAGCGTGGCCTCGTTAATCACATTGTTTCACTTGTTTCTGTTCAAACTCATCTACAACGAGTATTGCGGGCCAGGAGCCAAGCCGCTCTTCAGGAGTAAGGTATAAGGCTGCTGCTTTTGGCTGCTGTCCACTGAGTGTTGTCAACCTGATTTTCTGTCAGCTGTGCCTAGGGAGGTTCTGTTTTGGACTGTGAGGATTTTCAATCTCTTGCAACAAGTGATCTGTGACCTCTTACTGCAAGAAGTAGGATTAGGCAGGGATTGGAGTGGGAGGGCTCACAAACATTAGAAAAGATAAATTCACTGCCTGTCCTTAAACATTTGTAAGACTGCAGATCAAGGCAGATGCAGCTCTTCTGTCCTTTTTCCACACATTGGTGTAGGACATTGCTTGTTTTTAAACCAGCAGTTGCAGCTGTGTCACGAGATGATGTTTCTTGTTATGCAGTACTGGAATGCTTGTGAGAGAGCTGCTATCTTTGTCTTTACTGCTGTGTGGGAGATGTGCACACTTGTCTGCCTCGTTTGAACGTGTGATGTGTCATACAAGAACACATAAATGCAAGTGAGTGTTCTTAGGTGAACGTGCTGACTTGTTGGTACTACTGGTAAATGCTCATAGAGTTATAGACACTGTGCAGTTCTCCGTCAAACCACATTTACCACCATCATCTTGGGAAGATGCTGAGTTAGTGTTTCTCCCATCTGGACAAAATACGTAGCTGTGTTAGGAAAAGTACTGAGTGCTTTTTACTGTGAGTTGGAGGTTCTGACTTCAAGCTCTACTGCATCTCACTCTGGTGTAAAGAATTTTAAATTCTTGTTTTGAGTTGCCTTAGAAAACTTAGTTGCTTGTAAAAACTTAGCACAGAATAGACCATAGATGGTGATTTCTGCTCTTAGTACTGGTACTTTCTGGTTGTGTGGTGATATGGAGTGGAAATGAAAGACAAGACTGGATTTGCTGTGTGAGCTAGCCATATTGTTCAGAGGCATCCCTCCTTAGGGTTGAATGGAGTTAAATGTAGCTTGCATTAAAAAAAAAAAAAAAAAAAAAAAGACAGAGTTAAATAGATCTGGCAGAGGAAAAAGTTCTAGCTTTAGATTGCTCTGTTTTTCCAAACTATAAAAGCAAATTCCATTTTGGATAACTAAGGCTGGACAAAAGGTATTGGACTAAGCTTGACAGTCAGTACATAAGGGGTGTTTAAAGCGAGTTGGCAATTTTCCTCTTGGCTCACCGACTTTGTAATGTTGAGCACTGGAGATCAGGCCTGATCCCAAGCAGGCCTGAATACCTGCCATCCATTGAATGAGAGCGGAAGGTGCATGTGGCTAGACAAACTAACTTAGGAAGACGTAGGTTAGATACTTCTATCAGAGACAACTGCAGTTATAAGCTTATGATCATGATCAAAACGGTAGTGCAAAAGGAGGAAGCGGTCAGGAAGTAATTTCAATTATTGTGTATACAGCTGAGCCCTGACATGCATCCTGAAATGTGTCCTTGAAATTATAAAATCATGTCCTTTTTTCCACTGCTGTCTATCTGGTTGCCTTTGTGATCTACAAGACTTGCCTTCTGCCTTTTACAAAATGACTTGTTAACCATTACTACAGGTAACTGTCCCTGACACTATTCTCTGAAATGCCGAGAAGCTTCACAGCTACACACCAGGGCTGATGTAACACCTCTTCCTTCTTGGCACTGCAAAAAGCCTTGCAGTGTACAGCAAACAAGTCTGTTGCCTCTTATTAATTGGATCTACTTAAAATGAAGATGATGCAGAACTTGATTCCAGAAACAGGGATGAAGTGGAAGCCAGCTGAAGCTCAACATCTCTGTAGCAGTAAGCAACATCAATGGTCTTGAAATAACACTCTGTTTCATTAACTGAATGGGAACATCCCAGTGTCCAAGTGAACTTAGTCCTGCTTTCAGCCTCCATTTGCACAAGACATCTGACAATTTTGCAGCTGAGAACAAGGACCTTTTGAAAGCAACAATCCTTTTGTGCCTTGTTAAGAGAGGAATCTGAGATTTGAAAGGTGTGGTTATTCAAAAGTTTATCCCAGAAGCTTGTGTAACAGATGTTTCTTTTTCCTTGTAAGCTGTTCAGTTCCCTAAGAGTAATCCGTTTGGTGAAAATACTTGAAGATATACTAAGCCCTTTGATATTTTGATTTGTTTTTTGATTTTGCAGGAAAATAAAGAATGATGATTCCCTTCAGAGAGTTAACTTAACTAGAAAACTTTAGTGTAACTTCCTTTCTGGTATACGTTTTTTAATTTATTGCTTGGGGGGAGGATGTTAATAATTTTGCCTCCACTTCAGTAACAAGTCAGTCAATTGAACTGTAGATATCTAAGTGCTGGTAACAGGTTTTTCAGCCTTTATGATTGTAGAGTGCAAAACCATTTTAATTAAATTGTTTTCTGGATTTACACTTGGAAATGCTGATCTGCAGAATTTCTATTCTAAGCATATTGAGACTTTGTGCATTGATTTGTTTTGGCTATGGGGGAGACATCCCACTTTCTAGTGACTTAAAGGTCGTTTGGTTTTAAAATACCAAAGCTGTTGTTTCTAAATAAATATCTTTCAGTCTAATCTGATCACTAAAGCGTGGTTGTTTTTTTTTTTAATTTTGTTTGGCTTTTTTAGTCTCTCTTCTCTCCTCCCCTTGCTCCCCACCCAGTTAAAACAAGCAGAGCCTTATGTTACATCTGTGGCCAGTATTGACTACAAAACTGCTTGGATTAAAAGGAAAGAGAGTGTGGAAAATAATACATAAATGGATCTAGGCTGGGAACAGACAATTTGGAAGGCACAATAAGAGACAGAAACACACAGGGTAGTGCTAATCTCCACTTCCCTGGCTCTGCATAACCTTGTTCTATCTCGAGGCATGCAAGCCAAGCTTTAGTTTTAAGAACACAGAAACAAACTCAGGGAACAATCAAGTAGCAGATTTAATAGCCATTCAGCAAGTAATGAATTTGGCACATTTGGTGCTCCCAATATAAAGCTAAGGCAGAATTTAACTTAGAATTTTTAAATGGGTTACTGTCTAGTTTCAGATGGAAAACCTCCCTCAGAAAAGTAGATTTCAGTGTCTGTTACTTATCTGCTGACTATACTACTAGTATCATTTACTAATTGGTCTAGCATAGTTACTACCCTACAAGGGAACAGACTAAAGAGAGGGAGGCAAGGGAGTACATTTTAAATGGTACACTAAGTACATTGTGTATCGAAAGAGATACTAGCTATTATGCCTTAACAGAACATACCAGAAGTTCCTGCTCTTTCTCACTGAAGTTCCATGGGCTGCTTAGTTTCTGTGAAACATCTGGCACAAAGATGATAAGAGGTTTCAGGGTGCTGTTGCCAAGCCACCATGGTGTCAGCTGGAGGCTGAGTCTTTTGATGTTCTCTTGCAGAACTGCCAACAGTATGATGCCCAGTGAGTCCAAGAAGGATACTTCAGCCTATTTAGACTAGACCTGGAAGAGATGGATAAGCAATTGTTATATAAAGCAGGAGTGGAACAAAAAAAAAAAAAAAAACCAAACAAAAAAAAGCTTTGAGTGTTTTACATTAAAAATATGATTCTTATGAGCATTCCCCCCCCCCCCCCATGGGAGAAATAACTGTTTCAGAATTCCTTTACAAAGAAGAAAGGGAAAAAGAGAATAGGGTTTCTCTGTTCGCAGTGTGCAAGACAGCAGAAGGTCATCTTTGTGAAATTGCATAAATGCTTAAAAAACCTAAACATAATTCCAAGTTAACAAGGAGGCCCATTAAACAGGAAAGTTGAAATAGTAACTGAATATCCAAAAATTACTCTTAATTTTTAGTTGGTATTCAATGAAAATGATAGTGTCATGGAAGTTAAACTGAAAAGCATAGTGTGTTGTTTAGCTTGTAAATTCAGACATTGAGTGCCAACTAATTTATGAAAAAAATTTTTAGAATCAGTTCTGCACTCAGTTAATCCTGATTTATGCTTTTGTCAGATAATAAATACAAGATGCCAGAACAGAGTTTGGTTGATTCCATTTGAAATTCAGAATGCAGCTTTCTCAAGTGCTATTGTTTGGGTAGGATAATACATTCTTGAGAAGCAGACAAAACAGCAAAACATTATATATTTCTGCCTTCCACATGTGTGCTCCAGGCGTCTTTCATCCAAATCAGTACCTGCTGCTGAAGGGAAGCTATGAAAATCAGGGATTTTGCTGTTTGTTAATACTGACATTAAACAACAGATTTATTTCAGCTTTTTTGAAACCTCTAGTTTGGTCTGTATGTACAATGCAACTCTGGTTACAAAACTGGCATTATGATATTTGTTTCCATTCTAATAAGTTTGCTCTCTATGTGTGACCTGGCTTATGGGATAGAGATGTTTGTTCTTTAAATAACCAATAACAGTTTTTCAGGTGAAGGGTAGTGGATGGAAACATGACAGAGGATGTAAAATTCTCATAAGTAGAAGAAAAAAAAGGAAGAAAGACACAAGGGTAAGTGTTGTTATCAAGTCATTGATCTCAAATGTCCATTAACAAGTTAGGACAGTGTCTTTTGTGGCAGCAGCTTGGTAGTGGTCTAAATGCCTGCTCTTGCCTGGTTTGTCCTATCAGTGTAAATGGTTTACCCTTTTTCATTAACAAGCTCACACTGCATTATATGACAGGTCAGCATGCTGATTTGGGGTGTAAAAAATGCTCATTTGCAATGTTACAGGAACCCTATTCTCTTCCAGGGATGTGCTATTGACCTAATATTAAATGAAAGATATGGAGTCTGGCTCACCACACTACACCAGTGTTCCTCCATCATCATGGACAGCTGCTTCTTCATATTTCTTGAAACATCTTCCACTTCAAAGTGATTACAGTTTGTTTTATTAAAGAAGTCTGGTGTGCTAAAATACATGCAGCTTGATCTACAAAAGAAGATACAGGTTTTCAGTCAGTACAAAGTGGTAGTTGCCATTCAGGCAAAAAACAAATCAGAACAAAATGAAATTTCAAGCACTCATAGAATCATACAATAATTCAAGTTGGAAGGGGACCTCCAGAGATTGTCTAAGCCAACTGACATGACTGAATCTATCACTGAATATATCAGACTCTTACTGCTGACATACCACCAAGTGTTACAATAATTGATTTAACATTTTCCTTCTGAAAACACCTTTGTGATGAACTTTCAAGGCAATAGGAAAGCAAACAGCTGCTACAGATAATATGCAACTTGGAAATTTTTTAACCATGTTGTTTATATAGCCTGGATCCAAGGTCCTTCTAAACCAGCTTTTTTTAGGCACTTGTGCATATAAAAAGTTATCCCACAATTATATGAGTTTTCTATTGGTATCAGAATAGCACTACATTTTAAGCTGTGTGTCCCAGAGATAAATGATAACACATAAAATAGTCTGCAGAGCAGAGCCAGCAGTGCACAGCTATAACCAGCAGCATGCTTGGAGTCCTCTTTGTTGTGTTGACTCTTGCAGCTGCAGGTACATGTGCAATTTCAGCATTAGTTTTAAAGGAAAAATGGATTAAAATCTAACAGCAACTTTTCCTTTTTTAGGGAAATTAAACATTCTGCAACAAAGCAGAAAGAGATACAGCATAGGTAGTTAACTAAAAAGTGCTCTCAGGTAACAAGGTGCTGTACTATTCTGTTCTTATTATAGGGTCTTGATCATCACTGCTCAGCCTTTAGCAAATTCAAAGTTATTTTACTTAGCTTGAATACATTGAAATACAGTTAATCCACATCGAACTGTTGCGTTGGCCAAGAGCTGCGTCCCAGCTGACACATGGAAATTTGGTTAAGCCAACTTGATTTGATTGTCAGAAAAACTAAACCATTCAAACAGGCTCTATATAACATTGGTCAGTTTTGATGGCTGTATCTTGTATCACATTAAATCACAGCCTATATTTGTAGCTTGCAATGTTCTGTATAAACCATCTATATGTAAAAAAAAAACCCTCTCAACATTTTTTTTAAACCTCCTCTTTTAAAACACACATCCTATTTTATATGTCTTCTAGCCTTTGGCTGCGGGGTTCCTGCCTACCCACCCACCGTGTCTAGAGCTGCTGGAGGGGAAGACGCAAGACGGTACAGTTGGCCCTGGCAGGTCAGTCATTTAGCGCTTTCTCTGGAACAGTTAGGATTGCGCCACCCTCACACAACACGGCTGAACAAAACCAGGTCTTATATTTCATTTGATGCATCTTGCCTGTCACATCTTAGGTTTTGAATATTACATTCCGATCAATCCCAAAGTTTCTACTCTTTTTAAGAAAGCTCTGAATGTGCCACCTCTTGCTGGCTGTGCAGGCTTCCATGTTCTTTCAGTAGTCTTGGGCACCATCCCATATTTAAGCAAGAGAAGTGTGAAACTCAGTGGAGCATACAATGTCTACTGGAGCATAGTTATACATGGAGTTAAACAATACATTTCTGAAGCAAATTAAACACTCTATTTGGTCCAGGCTCAGCGAGAGCTTTGGACGAAACAACATCAAAAAATCAAGCTTTTGGATGATAGTGAAGGAGGGAAAACTGTTTTGTGGCCACAGGTTGGACATTTGTTGCTTAAAAGCCTCCCACCATCTTCCAGCAGGAAGTTGTGTTCTGCGTGCAGGAAGAAAGTCCAGCAATGAAAAATCAGTAAGCAAAAATCCAAGCCTTACTCGATACACTGATCCTAGGCCTCCCTTCCATACAGTTCAAATGGCAAATGGCATCACCCCTGCAGAGGAGCCCTCATCGCACCAGCTGGGTGACGACAGCTGCACGCTGCATCAGGTAAATAATGGAGCTCAAGCCTGTACCCAGGAGCAGTGCATGACCAGAGATAGATGAAGCAAAACCGTATATACCAGTTCTCCTTTTTCCCATTAAGAGCTCCGAGTTTCACGTCATATCTTTTGATTATAACTAATAGGCCAAAAGAAGAATGACGTCTTTTCATTTTCTTAAAATAAAAGTAGATGAGAAAAAAAAAACCCCTCATACCTGAATCGTATACTCTTTGTGTTCTGTAAATAACTACAAACATCATTATGTTTTTAAGTTGCTATTAAAATTCAGCTGTGTTGCCTGTCTCTATAATTTATGTGGCAGTGAGACCCACAGATTAATCAATCCACTCCCTGAAGAAATAATGACAAATGTTTTGAATATACCAGTCATTTTCAGTAAGCTCTTTATAATATGGGGCAGTATAACAAAGAAATTATCAGGTATATCTATGTCCTTTCATCATCAAAACTGCTTCCACAAAGACAACCCCATTTTGGTTTGGTAGCATATGTCATTGAATATGTACATACAGTTCTTGGTTATTGTAACACGATGTTGTAGAAAATATAATATGAAATAAGAAAGACTGGCTGCATGTTATTATTATAAATCCTACATATAATATCCATCACATAGTTGTTTATCAGTGAAGCTGCTATTGCTGTTAAAAAAGCAGTCCGAATTGTTTGCTTCATTGAAGAATACGAGGTGAATCCTGCAGAGATCGGAGGCATCTTGAGTTTGTTGATGAAGCCTTAAGCAGGAGTTAGTGGAAGAAGGATCAACCACACCTCCTCCAGAAAAAATCATTGTCAGTCGGAACTGGGATCCATAGAATATTGCAAATGGGTAAGTTGGTAGCAAGTATTTTTTCAGGTATTAGATGCAGGGCAAAAATCAAACTGCTGGAATCCCACCCACCCTGAGTTGTGGCAGCTAAATGCCTAAATGTTTAAAGCCTCCTGTTACAGCTTACAGTGGTACTCATATGCTTACAGTGTTTGCTCATAAATGAGAGTTGAGGCTCCAGTTGGTACCTTTTCCCCTCAAAACAAGATAAAGAACTTTCAATATTAATTGCTTATTGATTAATTGTGTTTTCAGATGCCATTTTGTATGTTCATGCTTGGGTGGGAAGCTGTTCTATGCAATGATTTCTTTCATACAGTGAAAGGAAATGAATTAATTTATACAAGACTCTTTGAAGCCCGCCTATGAACAGCATAAACACAAAGCATTATTGATCAATGGTATTAATATCTTTGTTGCTGTAGGACTCCTATGTCCTGCTGCAGGCTACGGGCTTTAGCAAAGAAATCCCCTCAGTTTCAAGGTCCTTAAAGTTAATCTTAACGTGTGCTTGGTTTTGGTGAAAATAACCTATAAAAGGCAATATAAAAAGCTGCTAGCAGGAAAGTGGGCAGTTCTGAAGGGAATAGTCTTAAAGTCCATGGATTTCCTCATTGTTTTGGGGGTGGAAGAATCTTTCCTGCTTACGTACTGGCCTCCTTGCCCCCTTGCATCTCTTTTGACTAGGCTAAGTGCTGTATAACTGCTAAATATTCATGCCTTAACCTATTTGTAAACCTCTTCACCCCTTCTCTTTCTCTTCCTCACTCTTGAATGTGTGTGCATGACCATAGGTACAACATTGCTTTGATCAAACTCACTGAACAGGTCACCTTAAGTGACCACATGAAGCTGGCCTGCCTCCCCCCTGCACAAAGCATCCTGTCATCTACCAAATGCCACGATGTGGCAGGATGGGGAAGACTTCAGAGTAAGTAGTTGGGCATTTGCAAACTTGTGGAAAAAAAAACCCAACAACCTTTCAGTACTGCCTTCTCCTTTGAGATTGGTTGGGAAAAGGCTGTTGATGGTGCTCAAGATCCCCTCAACCTCAGTGAAGTAGTTTACCAGGCCCCACTTCACTACGATTTTTCCCTGCCTTTCATTCATTTTGCTTGTAATGGGGCTAGTAATGCACTAGAGGGCCCTGCACTAAGCTTTAGAAGCTGTTGTAACACGGATGTTGATAGTGTGCAGACTGGTGAATTTACTAAACCTAACATACTCCGCTGAATAGAAGACACATAAGGAGGTATGTGTAAAGTGAAGCCTCCACGGGCTGCAGGCAGATATCTGCTCCACCAGGGACCTCCGTGGGTGGTGGGGGAGATGTGGCCCTGCCATCTCACCACAGGCTGCAGGGGAGTCTCTGCTCTGGTGCACCTCCCTTTTCCTTTCTTCTACTGACCTTGGTGTTTGAAGAGGTGTCCTCCTCACAGCTCCTCCTCACAACTCCAATTGCTCCTCCCAGGTTCCCCTTCTTAAATCTGTTACCGCAGAGCCACCATCACTAATTGGCTCAGCCCTGGCCAGAGCTGGGTCTGACTTGGAGCTGGGGGAGCTTTGAGAAGCTTCTCACAGGGGGTCACCGCTGTAGCCCCCTTCCCTACTACCAAAAACCCCACCACACAAACCCAGAACAACCAAACAGAGGGGGAGCTGCTGATCTGCTGATGGGTGCAGTGTTGTGGGTGCACCAGAAAAAACACTGAGTGGTTTGGGCTGTCCCAAACAGCACATCATGGTGACCAGGATGCCCCTAAAGGTACACAGAGGAGTCCAGGGCACCCTGAAAGACACATGGAACACTCCATGAAACCTTTAGGAAGCACACCAAGGGGTTCAGGATGCCCCGAAAAGAAGACACCCGGGCATCCAGGGTGCACTGACAGGCACATTCAGGGGGACCAGGCACACCAGAAAGCAAACCAAGGCATAGGGGCATCTGAAAATGGGCACTGTAAGCTTGGGGAGCCCTCAAAGCAACACCCAGGGCTGCAGAGAAGGGCACTGCCAGGGGTCCAAGGTACCCCAAAAGTCACACCAAGAGCCCAGGAAGCACAAAGAGGGACATGGGGGGGTCCAGCCACCACCCTTTGTGCTTCCAGGGAGCCTTGCTGGCAAGAACCCGCTCTGCCCAGCCTGTCTGTCTCCCCTGCGGGTGAGCGCTGAGGAGGTGCTGGGAGATGGGAGGAGGCCAGGGGGTCCGCAGAGCGTGCAGGGAGGTGGGAGCCTCGGAGAGGTGGCATTGGGCAACCCTGTGTCCCCAGACACAGTGTGCCAGGGGCTGTTTCCCTTGGCCACGAGGCCTGTGTGTATGCAGAGAGGTTCTGAGCACACAGGCCCCTCTGCCCCCGGCCCTGCCCTGTCCCCAGCAATTTGTGATGTCAGCACACTCTGGGGTGGTGGCACAGGCCCTGCACACACAGTACCTGGTTGGTGGTGCTGTCAGCAGAGCTGGTGACTCCGGGGGTGCCGGTGCTGCCAGTGGAGCTGGTGCTGGTAGAGCTGCTGCCTATAGTGGTGGTGCTGCCGGTAGAGCTGCTGGTGGTGGCTCAGCCCGTAGGCAGCTGCCCGTGCCCTGCTGCTCTTCTGTTCGCAGTGCCAGCGCCCGCCAAGTCCTGCCTGGCACCGCTCCCCGGGGAGAGGCGAGGAGAGGCAGTGCAGTGCCCATTCCCACTGGGCCATGAAGAGGATCTGGCGGTTCCTGCAGAGCAGGAGGGCACGGAAGGGTCCCGTGTCCTCCAGGAGCAGCGGTGGCCATGAGCTCCAGCTGGAGGGCTGGGAAAAGCTGCACTGTGTAGCTGCCACCCGTGACTTGGCCCCAGTGCAGCCACTGGTGAAGGAATGTGACACCGACTGCTGGGACAGGTAACGGGGTGCAGGCAGGCGGGTGCTGGCGGGCAAACTGCGGGGCTGTTTTCCTGCGCTCGGGCTCAGCTTTGTGCCTGGGGCTCTTCGTTCCCAAGGGGGGGTCACTCTGGGAAGCGCGGACAAGCCCCGGCCGTTGGTGTTGCGCTGAGCAGTGCCTACAACTGGCTGCGCTCTTTGTCTTTCCAGGCGCAGTCCCCGTGCACGGCCTGCGCAGCCCAGGGAGCAGGAGGAGAAGGGAGAAGCTGCCGTGGGCCGTGCAAAGGGGGTGTCAGCGCCCAGCGCTCCCCACGGGGCCCAAGCTGCTGCGCTGAGGCGGCGCGCACCCGCTCTGCGGAGAGCAGGTAGGACTCTCGGGGGTGGAGGAGGCGATGGGGAAAAGGCCTGTCGCCCACCCTTTTGTGACAGGCTTGCCGTGGGGACGGGCTGTGTGGACCCCAGGAGGGGCTTGTGGCTTATGAGCCAGCGAAAAAAACGCACGGCCAGGCAACGGCCCTGCATAGAAGAGTTCTCAAGACGCTGATTCCTTCTGGGGTCGTTTCTGATCACTTGGAGTGATCTCCCTGGCACACAGAAAAGGCGTGTGTGCTAGAGGAAAATAATTCCCCAGCAGCAAGAGAGATGTGGTTTGAATCTGCAATTTGACAGGTCACTCACTGGGATCTCATGGGTTTGGGGTGTGTGTTTGTGCTAAGATTGTCTCTGGAAGCGTGATGATTTGGAAAGCACTCTAGGCATCAAGGAGTTGAATTAGCTCACTTCGGTTCCAAAAATATGTGGTTTTAATGTAGATGAGCCTGCCATATACTCAGAGTCTGCTGTCCGTAAGTCACCAAAAGATGAAGAAGCCATCAAGGAGAGCAAAAGCTTTGGGCGGGAGGTATGTAAACCCACAGATTTTAAATTAGAGTCCTCCTTTTAGGAGTATCTTACACGCTAATGAAAAATAAGACTTTTCCACAAATAATGTCTAACGTGGAGTGATTGAAAACTCTTTGCTAATCTGACGTCAAGTTGGTGACAAGTCCTCTTCTTGTTGTATGCAATGCTGCCACCATCTCCTGGTTTGAACTAATTTCCTAAGGACTATCAATTTGTGTTCTTTTACTTTGAACAGACAGAAGATATCAGAGCCCGAATACTGACGGCGGGGTTAGATTCATCCTCTTCCCACCTGAGCTCTGGAAGTCATCGGATATCAGGAAGTGTCGATGCGCAAGTGTTTCTGAGAGAATGTGAGCGATGGCATAGTGTGCATGAGCACACGCCTCAGGTGCTGAAAACCAATGAGAGTGAAGCTGAAAGAAAAGCTAGTAGGCTGGAAAAGGAAGTGGACCAACTGAAAAAAGCCGTCTGGGAAAAGTCATTGGCTTTAGACATGACAAAAAGAGAGTTCCATCAGGCCCAGAGGCAGGCAGAGGAGTGGCATGCTCTATACCTTAAGAAAGAGCAAGAGAGGGAGTATGCCATCAAAAAGGCAGAGGGGCTGCAGCAACAACTGGCCCAGCTCGAACGTGAAAACCTTTTACTTCGTCAGCAGCGGGGAGACGTGCAGGATGAGACCACCCATGAACAAATGGTGAGTGGTGCCTTTCCATGCGAGGCCAACAAAGTAAAAAAAGAGGTGAGGTGAGCACTGACCAAGAATGACTTAAAGGAGAACAGTTCCAAAGGCTATCTGGTGCTTCTAAAAGTCAGCGGGTATAAGGTAGGTGCAAGGGAGCCCAGCACTTGGGTTGGTTCTGGTTTGCACTGGTTTTACTGGAATTGTGGAAGGTTCTGGCAAGCCTTGAGATGTGCTTATAGACATATATGTATATAGAAATGCTTAGGCTCACATTGGTTTTTGTTTGTGTAGCAGAAGAATGGCATAAAGGATGATACACAGAATTGGCTATAGGAAGCCTTGCCTCTGATCACTGGAGAAGGGGCTGCAGTCCAACGGCGGCTCTTGCATTGGCACCTGGTTAAATTTTAGCATTACCTTAAGAAACATGCAAAACCCCACAAAGACACAGTCTCAGCATCTTTTGAGAAGAATGTGCTGGGAAACAGAAATCTTCATCAAGAGATGACAGTTCTTTAGTTGTCTTCACTCGCCAAGGATGGCTAGAGACCTTCAGCCATGCAGATGCCCTCTTCTTCCAGTGGATGAGATTCCTTTGCTTTGTGATACACGTTGAAAACTGATCTCGATATATGAACTAGTGACTGAAAGTAAAAATACAGATTTCGGCTTCTAACCTTTTTCTTTGTACTCCTGTGACATTCTTTACCTAGAGTTCAGTGAGGGAGCTGCAAGGAGAGCTTGCTGATGCTTTCAGAAAGCAGCGGATAGCAGAAACTTCACTGAAAGCTTCAACACACCAATGCTATTACCTGAAGCAAGAAAACTCCCGCTTGCAAAAGGACTTGGACAAGGCTAAGGTCAAGGTATACAAAGCCTGTAAATATGTTAATGTATTTGAAGCTGTTCTTTTCCTTCAGTGACCAGAAGAGAAGACAATATTCTAAGGACAAATACAGGAGAGATTTGTCTGAGGACATTATGAGCTTCAACATCACTAACAATTGTTTTCCAGACTAGACAGTGCTCTTAGCTCCTTTCTCCTCCCTGCCTCCTCCCCTCTCACCTTGAAAAACTCAGCCAGATCTTCAGGGAGCTCGTTTCGAGGCTGAGGGGCAAAGCAGTGGCTTGGGCGCAGCATCTGCGCGGGGAAGAACGAAGCAGCTGTGCTCTTTCAAGACTCACTTCTGTTCTGACACCATCCAGAAGCTGTGGCTGTGAGGTGATATCGCAAGCCACGCGCTCCCAAATGTCCCTGGGCTTGGTTGCTTTCTCTGCAAGGTTTTTCTTCTGTCGGTCTCTGCACAAAGGTGGTGTCTAGTTCCCTGGTAGTGGTGTTTTGGGGGAAGGAAAGTGACCTTCCTGTTTGCCTTTGCCTCGTAAGCCAGGCTTCACCCTCCCGCTACGTAAGGCCTTGGAGCTCTTGTCTCTTCCCCCGGCACTGCCCGCCCCAGGCCTTAGCACAGGGGGGTGTGTAGGAGAAGGAACGGGGTGGAACAGGAGTGCCATGGAAGCAAAATGAAAGGCTGTGACTGCGAGGAAATGCCAAAGAGCATCTCCGGAGGCACGGCCATGCTGTGGTGCTGTAGGAGGAGTGGAGTGCCTTTGCCATGGTGCCCTTTTGGAAAGGAGGGGCGGATGGAAGCTAGAGCAGTCTTGTCAGCAAGGTCTTGAAAGATGTACTTACTTTCAGAAAGCCAAGTGCCTTTTCCCTGGGTTGAAATACAAACTGGATGGATTACAGCTATGATCTCGATCCATACATTTGATTGGGTTTTACAGAGATTTTTAGACCCCTCTGCTTAAGGCAGATTGTTTTTTCCCTGCATACAGGTGTGCGAACTCTCCGTGCAGCTGGAGCTGGCGTCTCAAAAGTCTCTGCAGCTTGAAGCTACAAATCAGGAGCTGCAAGGGCTGGTGGCTCTTCTGTCAGATGGCTTGGTGGCTCCTGGGGTGGGTCGTACCACAACAGCACTTTCTGGAAAACAGTGTGAGCAGCGAGCACAAGAAGAAAAGAGAGAGAAGCAACATCCCAGACCAGTTTTCCAGGTCAGTTTAGGTATCGTTTGTATCTGTACTCAGTGTTGCATTCATTTGTGGTTGTGGTCATGGCTTTTAGTTGTTTTGTCTTGGGCATCTGGCTCCCTTTGTTAGTGCTGTGGGTTTGGCATTCGTGTAGAGAAGCCAGGGAGCTGCAAAACGCTGTGTCAAAGTCTGCGTGTCATGGGACCTGTGTGCATGAAAAACATGCAGCCTTTTCCTCATCCGCATCTGTACGGCGCTGTAGGCTGTTTAATACTAGCTTTCGTAGAAAAATGGCAGCAAGAACAGGTTTGTTGAGAGGGGTGGGCATCATCTTTTTCTTCCTGTTTCTTGAAGTTGCATCTCCTGCTTTAGACACAGGCAGCTGCTCAAGCCAGAACAGAAGAGATCAACACCACTGATGCTTCTTGGAGAAAAGAGCTGGAGCAGATAATTAGGGCTCTGGAATCTGACCTGAAGAGAGCACAGAACATGCAGAAGAGGAGTGCACTGCGACTGGCACATGCACAGGAAGAAGTAAAAAGCTCCGAAAACGATTATATGGTGGACCGGGGAATTACAAGATTCCTCACAAATAACTTAAAAATGTAAGTCCAAACATTTTCTTTTTTTCCCCATATAGTGCAGTATGACCCTTTCATCACAGCTTTTTCATCCCACATCCCTTTCTTGGATCTGGTCAGCATGATGTGTGCACCTTCAAGACAGTGTGCTTCTCAAAAGAGTACACCTTGGGCTCTCCCATTGCAGAGGCCTGTTTTCATTTCTCTCTGCTGACCCTGAAGTAAGTACACCAAGCGGACTTGTCTGGAGGATGTTTTAGTTAGTTTTCTTTTAACAGTTTTCTGTAGCCATCTCCTCTTCCTGCATGTATGGTGGAAAAGAAGGCTTCATTTCACTTCTGCTGTTATCCTCCAACTCAGGATTGACACACTTGAAAAGGCAGAGGGGACAGAACAGGAGCCTGTAAGGCAAAAATAATCTATTCAGCATCCATTATGAGGGTGCATCTTCACTTTGAGTTCACTCTGGGAGGAGGGAAAGAGCCCAGAGTCATTATTACCTTCTAGAAAAGGTCCTCCAAAGACATAACACAAATTGCTTGGAAGCCTGAGAAGCAGGACATTTGGATGGCTCGGAAGTCTATGCTCCTAAGTCCAGCAGTGTACTGTCACACCTGGGGAACCCCTTTGTGCCAATATGAGCAACAGTCATTCTTGCATGCTCCTGCCTTTTTCACAGGGCTAATGAGATGCTAGTAGAAGCCATCAGGAGCAGCAGTACAGACTTCAGTCGCTAGGCAGAGTCAGAGCCAAAGCAGGGGACAGAGCAGAAACCCATCAGGCTCAGGTGAGCAGCTCCAGTTGTGATTCTTCAGTGATCAGGTGCGCTAGGGATTATAGTTGTCCATTGACTTCCTGGGCTAGATGTGCTGTAGAACTAACATTGGATCTTGCTTTTTCTCTCCCAGTCACTGGTGAATGTGAAACTGGATCTGCTGGGGCTTCTCCCTGAACACCTCCTGCTCTACTGCCAAATGCAAATGAAGTCTGGGAGATCCCCTTCTAGGGCAACACAGGACAGTTATTAAACTGGTAGAAAACACTCAGGAAAGTTTGTGAAAATTCTTTGTCTACCCTGATCTGGAGAGAGAAAGCAGCTGTGGGAGCCTGTAGAAAAAAGGGTTCTGCCACAGCTGGAGGGAAGAACAGCCACGTCTCCAGGAATGGCTTTGGCATCTCAGCCACCCGTGGGCCCCTTGGTGGGTGAGCGGTCAGAGGAACCCTGGAGTGCAGCTCTGTTGACCCTGCTCCCACCTCTGGTCAGTGGGCTTGTCCGCAGCACTGCACCCTTGGGTGCGCCCGGCTGCCGCTGCCAGGGCTGCCCTGCCTGGGCCCTGGGGCTGGGCCCTGGGGGCTGGGGCCGCTGGCTCTGCTGGCCGTGTTACCACGCTCATCTCCCCATCCCAGAGGGAGCAGCCATTCCTCCCTGCCCCCTGACACTGGGTTGGTATTATGCTATGCTTGTTTTTAAATATTGCTTTGTATGTTAGAGTTTGGAGAATGGCTAAACAGATTACACAAACACAAGAATTCCTCCACATATATATACCTTTGCATGCATAATATCACTTTAAAATTATATTTAATGAAACTCTGGTTAATTAATAGAGACTAACCAAACACAAAATTTCCCTCAAATTGTAATTGAATTATGGTATTATCTGTTTACAGGCACAGAAGGAAGAGGCAACCACACTGCCA